TGAATTCCTTATCAGGAAGTTCCAATGCTACTTCTTCTTCAGTGATGTGTTCTGGGTCTGTATCCTGCTTCCTTGTTTCTATCACTTTATCTTGCTTCTTTGTGTTGACAGTGATGGTCTGCTGTCTCCAAGACCTTGTGATGTTGTTGTATTTAGATCTTTGCTAACTTTCCAGTCATTTGCATCTGGAATGTCCTTGTGGTTTCCTACAAGTAGAGCTCATTGTTAGGCCCCTGGAATCTGGGAGAATGCTGTTGGTTTAAATATCCAAAATGGTCAAACCGGTTGTCAATATTCAAAATGGCTGCACCCTCCAGGCCGGCAAAAGTCCACAGCTCAGCCTGTCTCCCTCTTTGCTGCTTCCCCTTCTCTCCACTGGCCACCAGTGCAGTTCTTCGTGCAGCCCCTGGCTAACAGGGCCAATTTTTAGATTAATTCTTAGGTCCTAACACCACTCAACAGTATGCAAACTGTCTGTGCCATCAGATCACAGCTCTGTATGTCTCCTTTTTTGGTGTTTTCAAGCAGGTTCTTATACTAGTTGTAGTTTAGTCCACTTCTATATCTTTCCCTTCATACGGACGTGGAAATTATCGAACAATATCATTAATATCACATGCAAATAAAATCTTACTGAAGACAATTTAAAAATGGTTACAGCAGTATATTAAGAACTTCCAGAGGTGCAAGCTGGATTCAGAAGAGGATGTGGAACAAGGGATATCACTGCTGATATCAGATGGATCTTGGCTGAAAGCAAAGAACACCAGAACAATGTTTACCTGTATTTTACTGACTATACAAAAACATTTGATTGTGTGGATCATAACAAATTGTGGATAACATTGAGAAGAATGGGAATTCCAGAACACTTAATTGTACTCATGAGGAACCTATACATAGACCAGGACACTGTCATTTAAACAGAACAAGGGGACACTGCATGGTTTAAAATCAAGAAGGGAGTGCATCAGCGTTGTATCCTTTCACCATACTTATTCAATCTATATGCTGAGCAAATAATCTGAGAAGCAGGACTATATGAAGAATGTGGCATCAGGATTTGAGGAAGAATCATTAATTACCTGTGATACACTGACGACACAACTTTGCTTGCCGAAACTGAGGATGACTTGAAGCACTTACTGATGAAGATTGAAGACCACAGTCTGCAGTATGGATTACATCTCAATATAAAGAAAACAAAAATCTCCACAACTGGACCTATAAGTAGCATTATGATAAATGGAGAAAAGATTGAAGTTGTCAAAGATGTCACATTGCTTGGTTCTACAATCGACACCAATGGAGGCAGCAGTCAGGACATCAGATGATGTATAGCACTGGGCAAGTCAGCTGCAAAGGACCTCTTTCAAGTGCTGAGGAGCAAAGATGCCTCCTTGAGGACTAAGGTGCACCTGACACAAGCCATATTTTCAATTGCCTCATATGTATGTGAGAGTTGGACAATGAATAAGGAAAACTGAAGAAAAATGGATGCTTTTGAGTTGTGGTGCTGGCAAAGAATGCTGAAAGTACTGCGGATGCCAAAAGAACTAACAAATCTGTCCTGGAGGAAGTGCAGCTGGAATGTTCCTTGGATGAGAGAATGGCCAGACTTCGTCTCATCTACTTTGGTCATGTTGTCACAAGGGACCATTTCCTGGAGAAGGATGTCATGCTTTGTAAAGTGGAGGGTTGACAAAAGAGGGGAAGGCTCTCAACGAGACAGATTGACACAGTGGCTGAGGCGATGGGCTCGAGTATAGCAGGGATCACAGAGCTGGTGCGGGACCTGGTAGTGTTTGGTTCTGCTGTGCATAGGGTCGCTGAGTCAGAGATGACTTGATGTCACCTAACATCATATCCTTCCCTTCAAAGCTCAGGGCTCCAGGATTACCTTCTGTATCTGTGTTAATTGGTTCCCCTTTTCTTTGGTGAAGAGGGTCTGTGCAGCCTGTCTGCCTATTCCGCCATCTTACTGGAACTGTCTACTACGTAGTGTTTAAGCAGAGTTTTACTCAGTTTCCATGTATTTACTACTTTTGTCTGTTCTTCCTGTTACTAATTTCTAATTTCATAACACTGCGTTCCGACAAGTTGCTGTGTACTGTTTTGATGTGTTTAGCTTTATTGAGCCTTAGCCTGTGACCTAACAAATGGTCTCCTCTGGAGAACGATCCATGAGTGCTGGGAAACAACATGTACTGTGCTTGTTGGCTGTAGTGTTCTGCATCTGTCTGGGAGGTCCAGTTGGTTGACTGTTGTTCAGGTCTTCCGTACCTTTGTTGACTTCCTTCCTAGTTGCTTTGTTCTTCACTGAAAGTGGTGCTGAAGTCTCTGTGGTCCAGTGAATTACTCAGTATGGCTCTCCTAGGCACGGTTTTTGCGACTCCCACCAGATGACTGGGTGGAACTATGGAAATATAAGGGGGCTGGATAGCTTGTGAGTAATGACAGTAAGGTACATGGCACCTTTGTGCGGATGGGGCCATGCAAATAAGGTGGATGGAACTCTAATATGATGATTGGTTAGTTTTGCCATGTTGCTGAGCTTAAACTGAGCCCTCCTAGAGGCAGAGGAGGGGATCTCACTGCCATCAAGAGAGAAGAGCCGGAGGTGGTGTGGGGCACGTTCTTGGACCTGAGATTCCCACACTGGACCTCCTTAGCAGACTCCTCAGCAGAGTAACCAAAAGGCACAAAATAGAGTGGTGGGCTTCTGGCTCATGGAGTGAGAAAGCTGAGTGGGGTGCATGCAAAGCAAAGAGCTTGTACCACTTGCCCAAGCAGAGCAGGGGCCAGGACAAGAGGCCGAGGGTCAAGGAGGCGTGCCTTAGGGCACAGCAGAGGGGAGACTGTCCTGATCCAAGAGTTATATCCTGCGTGTGCTCCTGAACCTGAACTGTAGCCTGTTACTTCCCTAATAAACCCTATAACTGTACTGTCTGAGTTCTGTGTGGCCATTGCAACGAATTATCAAACCCAGCAGAGAACTAGTGAGTACCATGGGAGGGACGACCAGTGTCAAGAGTTGGTAAAAAGTTTGGAGGGTGGCATGTCTGGTCTCATAGCAATTAGCCTTGGGTGATTCTCTCTCCCCCTTGTGCAGTTAGAGGTGGTCAGAAGCTGCTGTCCGTGTCCTCTTCGCAGTCTTCTACTATTATTATGAGAGTTCTGGTAGCATAGTGGCTAAGGCACTCAACTGCTAACCAGAAGGCTGGCAGTTCAAATCCACCAGCCACTCCTCGGAAGGAAGATGGGGCAATTTACTTCCGTAGTGATACTGCCTCAGAAACCCAAGGAGGGGTCGCTATGAGTCAGGTCCGACTCGACGGCACATAACAACTATTATTATAAGGAGCTCTGGTGTCTTAGTGCCTAAAGCATTTGACTGCAAACCAGAAGTCTGGCGGTTCAAACCCACCTGCCACTCCTCAGAAGCAAGGTTGGGCAATCTACTTCCGTTAAGATTTACTGCCTCGGAAACCCAAAGGGAGCCGCTATGAGTCAGAATCAACTCAATGGCAGTGAGTTTTGTATTTTTTAAAAACTATTATTTAAATAATAATATTATTATTACTTGTCTATTTCTCTTTTCAATTCTGCTAATGTCTGACTTATCCGTTTTGGAGCTTTTTCACTGGGTGCATGGATATTGACTATGGTTATGTCCTCTTGTTGGACTGACCCTTACAATGCTCGTGTCTCAAGGCCGTAAATCTTAAAAGAAACAGCCAAGCTTCTCCCACAGAGTGGCTGGTGGGTTTGAATTACTGACCTTTTGCTTAGCAGCTGAATGCTTTAACCACCATGCCACGGGGCTCCTTCAGGGTTGACAGAGGCTAGATGAGTGTCATTGAGCACTGAGAAGAAAACCAGCTGCTGTTGCGTTGACTTGACTCCCAGTGACCCCAGGCATGCAGAGAACTGCCCCTGGCTTTTCAAGGTTGTGGTAGCAGATAGAGGTCTTTCTCCCACTGTGCCCCTGGGTGGGTGGACCCACCCACCTCTGCCTAGTACTTGACACGTGCCTGTCTGCACCACCCAGGGACCTGCACTTGTACAGTGGCTGCCAATGTCAGCTCTGATCACTGGGACCTAGAGGGCTCTGGGCAGCATGTCACACAGCACGTCCTACTGAATGGGCCCAGGGCTTACAGGCCCAGCGTCCAATCCTGCCTGCTGTTGGCTGCAGGCGACCGGAGCCAGGTCCTCAGGCTCTCTAACAATTACAGGGGCCCCACCTCAGATGGCAGCTGTGAGGTTTCAGTGAGCAGGGCTGGCACAGGTCCTTGGCAACATCAGGGTTAGTAAGGCTTGGTCTCGGTGGGTCCCGGCTGACCTCACGGCATGGTGAGGCTGGGCCAGGTGCGCACATCTGTGGTTCACAGTGCTGGACGCACAGCTTTCACACCGAGTCAGGCTCGCAACCGTCACCACCCAACAGTCCAGAAAAAGGACCGGGATCCGTCTCTATGTGGTACCAGACACTCCCCTCCCCTCATTTCCCAGGAGTGCCTCCTACTGGGGTCCAGGAGTCTCCTGGTGGGTACCCAGGGCAGGTTTGGGCACAGAACGCAGCACAACCGTGGGGCCTCCTATTGCATTGCATCACCTCGTCATACACAGCTTGCAAAGGCTCCCAGGACACGCTCACACAGATGGAGACGGTCTTGACAGGAAGCATCGTTGCTTTAATTCTGGTGAGGATCAGCCGCACTGGGGGCCAAACGGCGTCAGCCCCGCAGTGGTGCGATTATTAGTTACTGCCCACACCTGTCAACATGATCATTTACAAAAATAAATACGAAAAAAGCAGCAACTCTTTAGTGATCGTGGAACTAACTACACGGTGGTTATGTGTGAGCATCTGGCGCGTGTCCTAATTGGCACTGAGAACCTGGAAGCACTTGGTTTGGGCTCAGAGGCAGAACAGAAGGGGGACAGGGCAGCCGGCACGGCCCACGCTTGGAGCGGCAGCAGGCAGCCTCCCAGGCTCACATTTCGGAGTCTGCGTACATTCCGTTGATTAAGTAGTCCACCTGCGTGTAGTCCTTCTTCTTGTAGCTCTCGTAGGCTTGCAAGGCAAACAAAACCAGGACGGTGATGAAGAGAGTCACCCCGAGGACAAGCAGCGCCAGGAGGAAGCTCAGGGACGGGGCCGGGGGCCCGGCGGTGACCACCAGGTCCTGGCCTTGGGTGCTGAGCTGATGCAGGTCTGTGGCTGGCCTCTTGGTATCTGCTGAGCTCCCGAGAGTGGACCCAGCAGGAATAGTACTCGGTATGGCTTCCGTCCCCACCCACCCCGTGGCCGCCTGGGCAGACAGTGTAAGGTCTGGCTGTGCCTGTGTTGTGGGGGATGTGGCCACCACTGTGGGGGCTGGGCTGGCGTGAGGCACTGGTGCTGGGCTGGCAGTTGGCTCCTTTGCTTGTGCCTTAGTTGTGGCTGCCTGTGTCACGGACACTGAAGCCACAGAGGGGATGGAGGTGGACGTGGAGGTTGTGTCTGAGAGGACAGGTATGGTCCTAGTTGTCGTATTGACCACAGGCTGGTCCGTAGGTGCCTGGGGGGTGGGACCTTGTGCAGTTGTGTTAGGGACCTGGGAGCTTGTGGGCGTGAGGTGTGCTGTGGAGTTACCCGCTGTGGTCCGGGGCGGGCTGGGCATGCTGTGTGCACTTGGTGTGGTTGTAGCCACAGTCTCAGCCCTAGGGGCTGCCCTTGTCGCCGCTGCTGTTCCTGGCACCATGCCGCTCCCTGGCACCGTGCTGCTCCCTGGCATGTGTGCGTAGGGCATGCTGGGAGATGGATGCCTGGAGGCCGCCGTGGGCAGAGTTCGTGAGGCAGATGTGGGGACGGACGACGCGGGCCCTGCAGAGGTTCTGGAGGCCGTGAGGTCAGTCACAGCCACCTCTGTCCTGTTCACTGTCTCTGCTGTGATTTCAGTAGAGTTGGGGTTGGCTGCCCGAGTCCCTGTGGTTAACGTGACGGTGGACGGTATCAGCACGGATGTTCTCTCAGGCGTTTTATTCCCAGCCAGCCCGGTAACCATTTCCCTTGAAGTGCCATTCCTGACAGAAGGACTCCATGTGTTGTTAGGGACCAAGTGCCCTGCAGTCAAAGAAGAAAGAGACAGTCACCGTCAGGATGCACAGGTGGGCAGCACAGAGCGTCTAAGTCCCAGCGCCGGGGCTGGCTCGGGCAGCAGTGCTGTGCCCTTTCTGCTGGGCCCAGTGGGTGAAGGGCATGTCGAGGGGGCACGGTCCCCTTCCCTCTCCCACTGCAGCACCTGCTGTGCACAGCCCTTCAGACCCCCTGGCGTTTTGATCTCAATGCTCCTTCGTCCTCTCTGAACCCCAAGCCCACGAGATGCAATGGCTTTGTTGTTAGGATTATTGAATTGTGTCCCCAAAAACCATGTGCTGTAAATGGTAACCACTGTGCACCCAGCCAGGAGCCCTGCTAATCGAAAGGCTGGAGGTCCGAACCCACCCGGAGACACCTCAGAAGAAGGGCCTGGTAATCTCCTCCCACAAAGATTACAGCCCAGGACCCCGCGGGGTGCGTGGTTCCCCTGCTTCCGGGGTCAAGGTGAGCTGGAATCGACAGCACACCCGTCGGCGCTCCCCCATCTGGGAACAGGGTTTTCCCTGTTAGGTCAACAAGGCCCTATCAGTGCAAGGTGGGCCTTAAGCCCATCACTTTGACATAAAAAAAAGATGAGGCACAGAAGTAAGGACGAATGGGCAAGGCAGATGCCACACGAAGACCACCAACGAACTGAGGGGCGGAAGCTGAAAAGACAAGAACCTTCCCCAGAGCCAAAAGAGAGCGAGAGCCGTCCCCGAGAGCTGGCGCCCTGAATTCAGACTGCCACCCGAACTGTGAGAAAATTAGTCTGTTAAAGTCCCCACGGGTGGTGTCTGTCACAGCAGCACCAGGAGACTGAGGTGATCACTGACAAGCCCCCACGTGTGGTGTCTGTCACAATAGCACTGAGACTGAGGCAGTCACTGACAGGTCCCCACATGTGGTGTCTGACACAGCAGCCCCGGGAGACTGAGACGGACACTGACAGGCCCCCATGTGTGGTGTGTCTGTCATAGCAGCACTAGGTAACTGAGACATAAGACTATTTGATTGGATTCCCCGATATCAGACCTCAGACAGAGGAAACTCCTCACATTACAGGTGCTACCTGCTCCAAGAAAACCCACTGAACACGCCCAGGTTTGCAAAGCAGATCGTGAAGTCACGGTGCCGAGACGCCCGCCCTGCAGAGTGCTTGGCTGCATAGCAGGATGTGCTGCAGGGATGGCTGGCGCAGAACGAGAGCCGCCAACAGTCTGACGCATGAATCAACAACCTCCTCGTGGAGTCGCATTTACAGCAACAATCACACTTTGCAGGGCCCAGCAAATGAAGCTTCGGGGACTCAGCTGTCCGGTCCCACGGGGAGTCCCTAGCCATGCCGGCCTGGAGAAGAGGCTTGGTCTGACAGCCATTCTCAGCCCAACGCCTAGCGCCCAGGAGGCCTGGGGTTCCTGACTCCCTGGCCTGGGCCCGTAGAACTCTCTCTCTCCTGGGCTCAGGCAGCTTGGGGCCACCGTGGGCCTGTCCAGCAGTCACAGTTTATCACTTACCTGAAGAATTTGATGCTGCCTGGCAGTCAGAGAAGGCCAAGCAGGAGACCCAGACAAGCACGAAGACTGGCCACATCTTGTGGGCGAGCCGGGAGTGAGGCTGAGCCGTCCTGGTGGCCACCTGCCGCTGGCTTCTCAGGCCGCTCATGATTCCTTGCTGCTTGGCTGAGGGGTCTGTGGGCAGAAAGCACGTGTGTCAGGAGGTGGCTGGTCAGCAGGGCGCGACCTCCCCGGGGCCCCGGCTTGGTACGCACCCATCCTTGGGGGCTGGCAGGGCCCAAGGTACAAATGGAGCCACGGCTGGTGCCCGGGAGTGTACACATGTCAGCTGTGTGGTCGCCACAATCTGTCGAAAGCCCAACGCTTGACGGGTCTAAGGCACTTCTCAAACCTGATGTCACCGAGTCCCAACCTCAGCAGGTTCCCACTCCTCCAGCTAGAACCCAGGTTTTGAAAGAGTAGAGAGAGCCCCGGCCAGGCCATGCGCACAGGCTAGGCCTTCTGATCGCCAAGGCCAGCCAGTCTTCCTGTGACTTTCACAGTCTGCAGGTGAGCACGCCTTTCATATAGGAGATGCTGCCCTCGCCCTCTGCTCCATCCACCCATCTCTCCTCCCATCCACTCATCCCTCTAGCCACCCACCATCCATTCACTCTCCCATCCATCCATCTCTCCTTCCCTTTCCCTCCACCTCCATCCAGTACTTTCTGAGAGTCTACTCATGTGTGGGGCAGTGCACTTAGGATGGAAACGTGAGAGGTACACCACCTGCTTCCAGGAAGCCTGAAGTGGTTGGGCAAGGGTAGGGAGGCAGGGTGCTGCAGGGCCCAGAGGACGCACTGAACTCGGCCAGTGGTGGTTGGCTGCATGCCATGGACAGTTTCCTGGGAAAAGACAGCCGCGTTCTAAAAGACAGATGGGGATGCACCTGGGGGGGCAGGGGCTGGTGGAAGGGCAGCAGACACCAGCGGGGCCGGGGGCCGGGGGCCGGGGGCCAGGGGTCAGCGTGGAGAGTGGGTTCCACTGGAAAGGGACATGCTGGTGGTGCAGGTTTCATTGGGGTGGACAGTGCCCCTGGCAGGGCTCTAGAGAGGGGAGTGACGAGGCCAGAAAGTGCTTTAGCAAAAGGGGGGCAAGGGGGTTGGTGGGTGGAGCCTAGGGAAGAGGAGGCAGGGTGGCGATCCAGGCAGGAAGGGCTGCTGCACGGGGCGCTGTGGGGGGAGCCATTGAGAGGGAACGAGAGGCAGGCGGAGGCCTTGCTGTCTCCCAGGGCAACAGCACAGCCCAGAACCCCCACCCCGGCCCCCACGGCCCAGCCTCCCCAGGCCGTGCGCCAGGCCTGAGTGCATGGGGGCCTCCCCGTGCCGCGGCTGGAAGCCTGCACCCCAGGTGCACCGGTCAGCTGCTCCGCACCCTGCAGCCCCCACGACGAAGCCCTGGACTGGGCAGGGGCCACACACACAAGCGCGGTGGGGCGGGGGGTGGGGGCAGGGCTCCAGACAGACCCCTGAGCTGCCTCCAAATCCGTCCGGCCTGAGCATGACCGAGACCTTCATCTCTGCACTGAGGCCCTGAGGGAGACCCTGTCGTGAAAGGGAAGCCCTCATTTGCTCAGGGAGAACGACCCGACACCCCTTGCCCTGGCAGGGTGCCGAGTGCTTCTTGGCCAGCCTTGCAGTGAGGCTGTTCCTTGCGGTCAGACAGCTTGCTCCCACCCCCAAGAGCCCCCAACCTGGCCTGGACCCACCTGCCACCCCATGGTGGCCAGAAAGATCCCATAATCCACAGAGACAACCATACTTCCACGAGTTTAACCTCCCTGCTATCCCGGGGTGACCCCAAAGCTCCTTCCCGTGGCCCAGGGATCCTCCAAGCTGATCGACAGAGGTCCTGCGTGCCAGGCTGTGCCACGCTCACCAGCTCCCCCTGCTGGACAACTGCCTGGCTTAGAGAACCTGCCCAGGCACCTTCTCCCAGGAGCCTCTTCAAGCCCAGCCCAGCCTCTGAATTGCTTCTGTCCTGTCCTCCAGCCCTCATACCACCCAACGCCAGTTTCCTTCAAAACTGCCTGTGAGAGTGGCCGTCTCACAGAGAGCCATGCAGTCCACAAATGACAGCCCTGCGTTTGTTCTCTAGAGAGCAAAAGGCATTCTTTGTTCTGACAGACAAAAAACGTGGGGGTGGGGTGGGAGAAGAAACAAGCCCTCATCTCAACCGGGAAGGTCTGTTAGGTCTCAGGCACCCAGAGCTCGCCTCTCCCGTCAGTCGAGGCCACACGTTTCCTGCTAAGGGCCAGCAAGTAGGGATGTTAGGCCTTGTAGGCCACCCCATCCTGGTCTCAGCTACACTGCCCTTGGGGCCAAAGCAGCCACCTACTCTATGTCAATGAGTGGCTGTGGCTGTGAGCCAATAAAACTTTATTTACAAAACCAGGCCACAGGCGGGATCTGTCCCCAGGCTGTAGTTTGGGGCCCTCTGCTCTGGTCCTGAGGGAACTGTAGTCGCTCTAGCCAAGGCCGGGAGGTGGGCAGCTGCTGGACTGCTGGACACAACGCCGTGAACGGACCTCCTTCTTCCCGTCCAGCCCCCCACGCCAGGAACAACGTGGGCCATCCCACTCCCGGGTCCAGGGACAGCCGAGCCCAGTCTCCTCCCAAGGCCTGCTCTGCTAAGAGGAGTGAGAGGAGGCGGGCAGGGACCTGCAGGGGCCGAGAGAAGCCTCTGGTGGTAAGTGGCATTTGTGTCACAGAAGCAGAAGAGGGCCTAACGACTGCATGGCCTGGCCCCTCCCACCTGTTTCCACCCATGCACCCCATCCTCGTCACCCCAGAAGGCAGGCCCTCTGACGGTGAAGGGCCACAGACTGCACCCCAGTTAGGGGCAAGCAGCTTCGGCCCTTGGGGCTTTCCTGCCTTCCTTTTTCCCTGACTCTCCTGCAGACCCTGCAAACCCCCGCGGGGCTCTCTTGGGGCTCACCGTTCCCTCACCGGACAGGAGAGAACGGGCCTCAGGGCCTCGGACACCCACCAGGGGCAGCTGCTCAGGGCGTGTTCCAGGCTGGGCCATCTTCCCCCTTGGAGTGCTGGGAGCTTGGCACCGTGTGCGGTCTGGCTTGGCAGGTGGCGAAAGCAGCTCCGGGGGGCACCCCCAGGCCATGGCATGCTTTGTGGCACAGGTGGGACACGAGCAGGCGCTCCCCTCCGGGATCAGACATATCTAGGATTTGAAAAAAGAGTCAACACCACTCTTCAGGAAAAGCACATGGAAAGAAGCCAGTGAGGATGAGGCACCCAGACAGGGGAAGGCAGCAGGTCCTCATACCAGGAAGATGACAGCGCTTCCAACTTTTAAATGGCAAAGCTAACTTCTGGCCTAGCAATGTCTCCTGCTGGAATTGCCAAAGATGGACATTTACAGAAATGTTCACCCCAGCATTTACTCACCAAAGCAAAAAACCCAACTGTACGTGAAATACTATGGCAGCTATTAAGAAATTGTGGTTAAGTTTGTGTGTCAACTTGGCTGGGCCTGGCTGAGTGGCTGGGCAGCTGGATGGCGTTATTCCCCATGATGAGACTGGTAATTAACTCCACGGTGGGATCTATCGGAGGAGCTGAGCTTCAGGGATGTGGTCTGCTTCCTGCATAGAAGCAGCAGCTTTGAGGAAGGTCTCCAGCTGACAGCATGGTTGCATCCTGCAGGCAGCCACGTCTTCCTTCAGCAGCCTGCCATGCTCTGCAGGTCTTGGGACTTTTAATGGACTTGAATCAATGACCTGCTGTGTGGCTTGGTAGTATTGGGACTGTGCCTTATCACTTGTTGACCTTGGATTTGTCAGCCTCAGCAGCCAGCAGCCGCCTGAGTGAAGAAAGCCTCCAGTTGCAGTGGGCCGGAGCAAGAGGCAGAGCTGAAGCCCAAGGGCAAGGGGCTTTCCCCCAGCCTCTGGCACCTGGAACTCGGACTTCTAGCCTCTGAAACTGTAAGAGAATAAACTCCTGTCAGTTCAAGCCATCCCATGTGTGGTATCTTCCTGTCAGAGCGGCACCAGGGAACCCAAACAGAAATATACAAGATTTGTTTAGTCACGGGAAGCTGTGCGCCGTGCGTCATTCAGGGCAGAAAGCAGGTCACGGAGCAGTGTGTGCACAGAGCATGGCCTGCGAGCCGGCTCCCGCCCTTCCACACCTCCCCGAGCGCGGCTCTGCTGGCGGCCACCCTGTCGTCACCGTGTTGTCGTGTCTCGCAGCGCTCGGCCGGACTGTGCTCTGTCAGGGCCGCAGCCTCTGCGTGAGCTCACTGGTGAAGCAGCCCCCCGGGTCCTTCCCCCCGGCCTCTCTTAGTCTGGAAGCTCCACTGAGGCCTGTCCACCAGGGGGGACCCTGCTGGTGTGTGAAATACCGGAGGCATGGCTTGCAGCCTCACAGCAACACACAAGCCCCCACAGGACGACACCGTGACAGATGGGGGTGGACCAAGATCCTATTTTTGCGTCGATGCACTGGTGTTACAGGGCCTGGGGAGACCCACCTCAGGCCCGCGGCGATCGTTCCCGGGGAGCGGATTCACCGCAGCTTTCTGTTCTGCTTCACAGCTTTGCCGTGTCCTCACCAGCACGTACGTCTGGACAACATCTCCAAAAGGCTTGAATGAATGGAACAGTGTCGGGGTTTCCTCAAGTACTGGGAACCACCAGACAGTGAGGCACAGAGGAAGAGTTTGCTAAGTTAGAGAAAGAGGTGATGTACCTATCAAGACGTGTGTTTCTCAAGGCGCCACCCACAACTTCAGAGGAAGCCGAGAGGAGAGCTATAACGTGCAGCTCTCAAGCAGCACAGGGTTCAAGCACGGATAAGCCTTTAACGTAAACTCAGGAGGTTAACGCGGGAGCTCCTTGCTGTTCCATGGGCAGACTTGTGGGGGCTGGTGCCTGAGGAGCAGTGTGGGCCCATGCCTAACACACACACATGTAAGGCCATGTGCACACAGTCACATCCACATGTGCATGTAGCCACACATAGCCTCCCTCATACATGCCACACACCATCACGTGAACACAGGTGCATGTAATCAGACTCACGTGTATACACAATCACTCCCGCATGTGTAGCCACACGCAAGTCCACAGCCACACACATGCACATAGTCACACACCCTCCCCACCCAAAGTCTGCAGGTGGGACCACTCCACAGGAGTAGGAACTGGGCACTTAGTGAGGCAAGAACAGACCCCTGGCAGTGACCTCATCTCTCGGGAGGTTCTGCCCCCACCTTCCAACAGCATATTCTAAGTGTCCAGATTCATGTGTGGGGATCTGCACTGATCTTTGTAAGTCAACTGGCCACACACAAAGCCACGAACAAGACTTGAACGAGCCGTTTCCCTCAAGGGCTGCAGTGAGCCGGAGGTGGGCGTGGCCCGGCCATGGGCAGTCTGCCCTCAGAATGCAGCCAGTTACTCTCAGTAGCACTGGTGCAGATGGGTGGAGCTCTCAGACCCTAACAGGTGGAAGGGAAGGGCCCTGGGCAGGAAGGAAACAAGAATGAGGTTCAGGCTAAGTGGGGACCTGCAGCACGTGGGAAGACAGGAGCTTAGACTGGTGCTGGGAGCCCCCACTTTGTTAAGTGATCAGCTCACAACAGGGGAGGTTGCCCCTGAACCAGGCAACACACACTCCACAAGAAAGGTCCCCAGACTGGCCAACTTCCCAATCATTTTCTGGTCTGTGACCTTGAAACTCCACCCAGGACCTCTCAAATGTTTCTCTTGTGTTCTTAACCTTGGCTGGGTTTCTCATACTCTCTTGAATTTTGTCTGCTATATGCAGGGTGCTGTATGCAAGTGTTCTAAAAGGCTCTGAGGGGTGCAAACGGCTTGGGTCTGTCTACCACCCTAAAGGTCGGCAGTCCAGGCCCACCCAGGGGTGCTGTGAGAGAAAGCCCTGGCAATCTGCTTCTGTAAAGATTATAACGCAGAAAACCTTTCGTAGAAGCGGTTCTCCTCTGACACACGTGGGTGGAACTGACTTGACAGCTAAGGCTTTGGTCTTTCTGCAGCGTGAAAGCGCCATGAAATCCGACTCCAAATTGCTTAACCGTTTTTCCGGCATAGATGGATTCCAAAGATACAGCACAAAGAATCCCGGGCTTGGAAAGTGACCCTCAGGGTCGCTCCACCTTCCAGCACGCTGTTGATACTTCTTCATCTTCCGTACCATGGCTCCTGAACTTCCTCCAAGCTGAGGACGCCATACATACCAAGGAGTGGGGATTACAGAAGCAAATGCAGGGCGAACCCCGGATCCTTGATCCTGACACGTCACCCAGCTGAACTTTGGCAGCAGGAGGCTGAGGAACAAGGCTTGCGGTTTTGTGTGTAGACACTGCCCCGTGGCCCAAAGGAGGCGTCTCTGGGGCACGCTGGGAGCTGGATATGGTCCTCACTATATTTCCTGCTTAAATCAAGACAGTGATTTCTCAGGATCCAGCTTTTGCTGGCTACGTGGGCAGATCTGACCTTGCTCACCCATTAGGCAGGCCCGGTGGAAAAATGTGTACTTTAAGTCCTTTCCTTGTTGGTTGCACGAGCATTTTGGAGCTGCTTCCTGCCTGTGTGTGTGTGTGGGGGGGGGCGGAGGATAGCTGCACGTTGTTACAGGCAAATTCAAGCCCCGTGTTTATGTCTTGGGGTGAACCATGTGGACATGCTTCCTCCCACCAGCCTAACAGGAGCACACGCTCACATCGCACTCACGGGAGAGGGAGGCAGGTACATGGGCGCACAGACAGGCAGGGTCCCGGGGAGGCCTCGCCACCCAAGGGGCCAGCTCTTCGGAGGAGGGGGAGGTGTTCGCCTCCTAGGGGGCCAACCTGATCTTGGCCCTGCCCGCGCGCGGGACGACCTCTTGGCTCCCGCCCATTGGGAGTGTTCCAAACCGACACAACCAGCGCCCTCCTCGGGTTTGGAACCCCCTTCTCCCCGCCTCCCTTCTCTCGGACCCCTCCAGGCTCCCCCAGTTTTGGCCCCCAACTGACTCCGATCCTCCACTCTCCGGCCCATTCATCTTTCTCCTTCCCCCTCCTCCTGCCTCTCGGGCCCCCATTCAGCCGCCCTCTTGCCCTCCACTTCCCTCCTTCGGCCCCGAGCCGGGTCCCGGAGTGCTGACAGCAGCTGCCCCGACAGCAGCTTACCTGGGCGCGACAGGCCTGTGCGGCCCGGCGGCCTTCGGACGGCGGGGAGGGGCCGCGGCCCAGAGCGGGGACGTGGCCGGCAGCGAAGAAGCACCGCCAGGAGTTCGAGCTGCTCCGGGCGGCGGCCCTCACGCGGGCCCGCCCGGGCCGCCCCGGAAGTGGCGTCAAGGGAGAGCCGGCGGGGTGGGTCCCATCACTGGACATGTTTCGCGCAGCCGGATCCGAGCCGGAAGCGAGGGGCGGAGCCTGGCCGGAGTTGTATGAGGTCCCGCCCACCGGGGGGCCCAACTCTGGCAGCAGCTTCGGTGCGGCCGGAAGTAGTTCTTCTTGGTAAATTTCTGGCGGAAATAGGCGTTCTTGGGAGTCCAAGAGCCCGACGGCACTCAGGCCGATGAGTCGGAGAGGATGACTTCAAACGCCTTGTAAGACTTTGTAGTCCGGCGTGAGCAGGTGCTTCCAACTTGTGACGTTTATCCAGCCCGGGGGCAGGCTGGTCCAGATGGTCTTGGGTGTCCTATAATGATGGTGATGGCGACAGCGACTGTGCCAGGCTCCTGCTAAGCACCTTACCTGCCGAGTCAGTGGTCTTATTCTGCAGTAGCACTATGAAGACATTACCGTTGTTCGTCCTCAGTTTACATATGCGAAAGCGGACTCAGAAAATGCCTTGTACATTACAGGTGGGATCACGGGGCAGAGTGGGGTGTCGAAGGACTGGTATGGGGCTTGATCTTGGTCATAAATAGGCTCCATGACTGTGTCCCAGTCTGGGAAAGACTTCTCAGGACCCCGTAATCCAAAGCAAAGCCTGTCTGTGAAGAAAGGGCCCCACCCCTGGAGATAAGCCAAAAAGCCAATTCCCCAACAGTTGTAGAACTTGCCGTGAGGTCCTAGGTTTGGAAACTAAACCAGACACAAAAAGCTAGGGTGTGCAGATGCCACGAGCTCCATCACCTGGCCAGTTCTGAGCTCTGGGAACACCTGAAACGTGATTCCGAGCTGTTACCACCCTCAACCCCAGTCCAGCCTCACAGTTCCATGTTGTGTCAAACTCACCCTGCAAAACTAGGGTTTGATGTGACCCAGGCCATTGGGAGTGTTTGTGAAGACAAGGTTCTTTTGTGTTTGCTTTAATTTTCCCAACTAACTTAGATCTGACAGACAGCTTATAAACCAGGAGTACCCATAGAAACTGATAGTATTACTTAATAAATGAAAAAAGAAAGACCCAAATAGCCCGTTGTGCTTCTCTGCCACCTTCCAGAAAAATCAGTGTCTGTTCTGGATTGAATTGCGTCCCCAAAAGACATGTGTTGTAAGTCCTCTTATATCCCAAATGCAAACCCAGTGCCGTCGAGTTGGTACTGACTCACAGCGACCTATAGGGCAGAGTAGAACTGCTCCATAGGGTTTCCAAGGCTGGAAGTCGACTGCCACATCCAGCTGGTGAATTCCATGATCCAGTCGAGTACTTAACCACTGTACCACCAGGCCTCCTTAAATCCTTAAATCCTGCTACACCTGTGTTTATAACCCCATTTGGGAACAGAGCTTTCTTTGTTATGTTAATGAACCAGTCTTGGTGTAGGGTATGTCTTAAGTCAACTTCATTTGAGCTAGAAAAGAGCAGATTGAGCACACAGCAGAACAAATGGGTGGGGGAAGCTGGATGCCAGGCCACACGAGATCTCCAGGGAACCAAGAAACAGAGTCTGGAAAGAGACAAGGACCTTCCCCCAGGGCCAGCAGAGACACAAAGCTTTGCCCTGGAGCCAGGGCCCTGAAGTCAGACTTGTAGCCTCCTAAACTGTGAGGAAATAAAGTCCTGTTTGTCAAAGCCACCCACCTGTGGTGCTTCTGTTAGAGCAGCCTGAGAGAAGCGAGGCAGGGTCTCCATTTCTTCTTTGGCAAAACTGGGACCGATGGTGCTAATGTGACAAAGGGAAGACCCAACCCTGTTTTTCAAGGACTTATAGTCTAGGGTGGAGGGCAGGGCAGATTCTGCCCAATATCTGCTTTGGTGAAGAAAGTTTAATTGGAACACAGTCATGTCCCTTTGTTATGTGTTGTCTTGGCAACACAGGGTTGTCATGAGTCAGAATTGACCCAATGGCAATGGGTTCTGGTTTATGGCTGCTTTTGTACCACAAGGGACAAGTGGATTAGATGTGGCAGAAACTTAAGGCCTGCCAAGCCTAAAAGATTTCCTCTCTGGCCTTTCCCACCACTTGTCTTCAGCGTGTCCCTGTGGTGGCTTATGTGTTATGTGATGTGGGAAGCTATCCCCCTGGTATTTCCAATCCCAGTGGGGTCATCCATGGCAGACAAGTGTCAGCAGAGCGTCCAGACTAAGACGGATGAGGAAGAAGGAAGAGGTGCCCCACTTCTGAGGAGTCGGCCACTGGAAGCCTTGTGAACAGCAGTGAAACACTGTCTGACACAGTGCCAGGAGATGCGCCCCTCAGCTCGGAAGACACTGGAAATACACCGTGGCTGTAGTGAGCGCTCAAGCGCGGTGATGACTATGAGACTGAAAACAGGCCCGTGCTCTGTTCTGTTGCACAGAGTCGCTGTGAGTCAGAACCGCTCGACGGCACCAAACAACAACTGGCCTTTTGCAGGAAAAGCCTGCTGGCCCCTGGTGTGGGGTGTTCCCAGGAAATGGGTTTCAGACAACGATGGAACCATCTGGTCCAGACGGTCCTGATTCAGGGAAATCTTTCTCTCACATGGGAACCTAGTGCCTTTGGGTGGCCCGGGGTCACCTGGAACCTAGTGTCCGTTGGGGGCCCATCTTTGGGAACTGAATACAGTTTTCATGGGATATTATGAAGAATAAATGAGTGTAGGGGACCTGCTTCTGATGGCCATGACTGAACTAGAGAAAGAGAAAGATAACACTTCATATCCTCAAGCTTTTATCTCAAACACAGATCATCTCATGGGCTTTCTGTGCAGTAATAGCCGAAACTCAGGCTCAGAGCTTGGTCCTATTGTTGCTGAATAATGACGCTAGCTAACCCTAACCCTAACCAGCCACTCCTCAGAAGGAAGGTTGGACAATCTACTTCTGTAGCGATACCACCTCGGAAAACCAAGGAGGGGTCGTTGTGAGTAGAGTCCGACTTGATGGCACATAACAACAACAACAAGTTGACTTTAAGTCCTCACTGGACAGCTGCAGTGTAGTAAATGACTTAGTATGGCTTTTCTACCCATGAGTCATTGTAAACTCAGTGGTGGAATGAGTAACTGAGGAGCTCCTGATTGTAAATGTTATCCACCTGGGTTATTTCTGTTGGGCGTGGCACAACACAATGTTATAGGAGGCTCACTCTCAGTGCTTAGAATTCTGTTGTTGTGATTGGTTGGTTTGGCCACTCTGCCAGGCTCAAAAGGAGGCCTCCTAGAGGCAGAACTCTCTCTGACTGCTGGTTGAGGAAGACGTGCTGCCGAGAGAGACGCGCTGCTGGGAAAGAGATGCAAGAGACATGCATTGCTGAGTGAGACACTGAGGGACACGCACTGTGGGAAAGAGACTGTGAGAGACTGTTGGCTGAGGGACGGTGGGCTGGGAGAGAGACTGAGCATTTTTCCTGAACTTGAATTTTAGTCTGGTGCTTCCCTAATAAACCTCATAATCTGTGAGTTCTGTGTGGCCACTCAGTGAATTATCGAACCCAGGAGAGAGGAAGTGGTGCTTTGGGAGGAACAGTTGAAGAAAGGGCTGGAGGGAGGCAGCATGTCTGGCCTTGCAGTAATAGGCCTTGGTCTATTGATGCTGTCCTCCTCTTGTGGGGTTAGAGGAGGTCAGAATATGTGGCCTCCTTGTCCTTTTTGCAACAGCTGATATGAATGTCATACCTCTGAAGTACCACTAAACCAAAACCAAACCAAACTCACTGCCGTTGAGTTGGATCTGACTCATAGCGACCCCTTCCTGGGTTTCTGAGTAGTTACACAGTGGAAGCACAAAAGAATAGCTAGAACTGGCTGAAGAATGCATTTCCCAACTAGAAGATAAATCCCTTGACACCAGCCTGTATGAGGAAAAATCAGAACAAAGATGTAAGAGAAACGAAGAGAACCTAAGAGTTATATGGGACAACATGAAAAGAAACAACATATACCTCATTGGAATTACAGAAGAAGAGGCAAAAAAACAAAACAAAACAACAACAACAACAACAAAAAAAACCACTGAGAAAATGGTGGCAGACTTACTAATAGAAAACTTCCCCCATATCATGAAGGAAGAAAAGATTGTCCAGGAAGCTCAAAGAACCCCATACAGGATAGATCCCAAGAGAAAAACACCAAGACATATCATAAACTCTCCAAAACCAAAGACAAGGAAAGAATCTTGCAAGCTAAGTCTGGGACAAAAGAAATATTACTTTTAATAATCAAACAGGCTGAGTTCTGATTACTCAGCAGAAACCATGCAGGCAGAAGGCAATGGGACGGCATATATAAAACACTGAAGGGAAAGAACTCCCAGCCAAGAATCCTGTATCCAGCCAAACTGTCCATCAAATATGAGGGTGAAATCAAGACATTCTCAGACAAACAGAAATTAAGGGATTTTGTGAAAACCAGACCAACTCTCCAGGAAATGCTTAAGGAAGTCCTTTCAATAGAGAATGTACAACAGAGAACAACAAAATCAAGACACATGACATCAGCACTAAAACCAAATCAGAAATAGACACTCAAAACAAGACCATAAAACACTGTACACTAAACAATAAGGAAGTCAATCTGCACACAACAGCAACTAACCAAATAGAGGGAATAAAAGTTCTAGGTACCAAACTTCCGAATGGAGAGGAAAACAGGACAATGTCCTCATTTTATTGTGTTTTTGATGAAAGTTTACACAGCAGTTTAGGTTCCCATTCAACCATTTCTATACACGTTCAGTCACACTGGTCACATTCTTCCCAATGCATGAACATTCATTACTTCCACTCTGGTTGTTCCATTTCCATTAATCTAGTTTCCCTGCTCCTTACATTCTCATCTGTCTTTTAAAATAAGTGTTGACACTTTGGTCTCATATAGGTGACCCTTCTCCAAAATTTTTATTTATTGAGTTGTTGTTATTGAGAATATACACAGCAAAACACACAAAAATTCAATGATTTCTACATGCACAGGTTAGTGACCTTGATTACCTTCTCCAAGTTGTGCGACCCTTCCCA